TCTCTGCTTAGGGCCATGTAATATTGCAAGCAACCATGTTGGTCCACCTGAGGCCGGTCATGACCCAACCATATAAAGCGTGTGTTAGTTGGTTACCAGATACGAACTTGACATATCATATTTGTGTGTCTTTGGTTGTGTGGTCTATGTGCCATTTATGTCGCCCTTACGTACAAAAGAAAAAAATAGGCCCTCAGAGAAGGATAGAAATCTATATCGGTTATGATTCTCCTTTTAATATTCGTTAAATAGAACCTTTGACAGACGATCTCTATACCCCTTATTTTGCGAATTGTCACTTTTATGAGACAGTCTTCCCGCTGGTAGCTTAAGATAAGAACGTCAACTTTCCTAAAGAACGATGCGAAGTATCGTGGATGTCTTTACTATGTCTCATCTCGATCCCAATCTAGATCGTCATAGTATAACTAGACGCTTCCTATGATCTAGCAATAGTGACGAGATCACATATACCAACTACAAATGTGCTTAGAAAGATGGGTACCAAATGTACGATGGACCTTCGTCCCAAAAGCAGAAATGCTACTACTATGGCTGACCCTCATACATTGGCGGCTAGCCAATCAATCTGTCATGCGCCAAAAGCGTGGCAGATCACTTGGTTTGAAGGATTCATCTCCCCAAAAGTAGAGGAACGTGGCACGAACGAATCCGCCCCTCGATCGATGTCTCAATCTTTTTCATCTCATAAGATTAAATCCGGATTACTCCCGAGACCTGAAGTTTTTGGTCCGGTATACTAGTTTAGATGAGATATGGAATTGGAATGAGATTATCATAGATGATGTTTCATTTATATGGTAACTACCAACATAAATAAAAAGCAATGACAACGAACTGCGTTCCATTGATTAGTGTCAACGTAGAATTGATTGGTCAACTAGAAGAATCAATTGATGACGAATAAGATGAATGAAATAGTGCGATATGACGCCTTGTGGCACAAGGTTTCTCTCATACGCTATGTGATTGATTACAACATTACAAAAGTGGCTATAGTACCTCTGGGATCTTGATACGAAACCTACATGGAGTTTCCAAAAGACTTATATGTACTGATTCAAATAGTTCTAGACCACAAAAACACCCTATCGGTTCTCAAATGTAGAACTATCCAGGTAGATGTGGTATACTCGTCTAAGTAAATATTTGATCAGTTAGGGATATATACCCATGTGTATACATATATACCTATGTGTATACAAGATCCAAAATTTCTACAGTTGAGAAAACTGACTCGCACCTAAAGTCGGACTTTTAAGATGAATGAGCTTGGGAAAACTTGACATTACCTCGACCTGAAGTTTCGAGCTAGTTCTAACGGTATTCTAGTCCACCACTCAAACTAGACCCATAAGATGTTGTGTCCGAGTATATCCTGATCGTCTGTACGTTAGATGCAAATGAGACCTTTACGGAGGATATGGAGCATAAGGTTCCATATTGGAATGTGAGGCAACCATATCTAAGGACAATTGGAGTTCGTTGTACTTATTAGCTCAATGCACTAAAATTGGACATCTTATGTACTGATAATCTTTTGGTATAAAGCAGCACTACGCCTACACGCCATCACCAAATTGGTGTTAAAGACATTTTTCCATTAATACGGATTTGGGCTTATCTATCCTTATGCATCTCAGAATAGATCACTCCCCCTTGATCTTCGAAATGATGCCTACCTTGTGGGATTCGCTAAATCAGACTATTTATCTTACCGCACAAGGTACGTTCCCGAATGGTCATGTCTTCACCATTAAGGAACACTGTAATATCTTGGAGGTCCGTGATATAGATCTTTAGTTGCGAAACCTTTGAATCGTTCCAAGATTCAATGTATCTCATCACGTGAAAGATATGGTCGAGAACTCTTGTGGAACATATTCGAACTCTCAGCGATTTCATCCATTGTTGAGTTCCAATAACATGAAGACAACGCTATATGTATCAACCATATCATGATACATCTAACAAGTCAATGCCAAGCATATTATCTCTACATCAGCATGAGCATCAGAAAATTGAAGTCAAGTAGTCTAATCTCAGACAACCTTGCTGACCTCTACACGACATCACTGTCGAAGTCTACTTTCCAGAAACTTGTCCAAGGAATTGGTATGCGTAACTTTCTCACTTGCGATGCTTGTAGTTTCATTTGGAAGTTTTGTCAAACTCAGGGAGAGCATCCAAAAGTATACTCATTTGACCTTAATGTACTCTTTTTCCCATAATTATGAGCATTTTTCCCACTGGGTTTTTGCTACCTGACTAGGTTTTGACGAGGCACCCATCCTGGGTTGGTTATAGCCTTGTGTACATTCTACTTGTGTCCCGTATACGTATAGTTTTGACTTAATGCAACTTCTCACTTTTCTCCTTTGACTATGGGCTTTTGTCCCACCTTGGGTTTTGCCATAGCAAGGTTTTGTGGGTTTTACCACTCATGCATTCTTCTATTTGTTTTGAGACTCGCATTCGCTACTTGTGCCGATTAGATGAGACAACTTCATTAACTGCTTCTACATTTGCCTGAAGATCTGACGCACCATCTACTTGAGTATTTGCACACTCAGGGGGGAGTGTTGTGACATTTTATATATACTAAAACCCAAACTCGGGTGGTACTATTCTAGGGCAGTGTGCAGACCAAAATGCCCCTCAATTCGTTTGTTAAGCCACTTTTTTGCCATATTTTCTACGATAAAATGACTTCCTTGCCCTCCAAGGCCATGCGTTTATCCTCTCCTGTTTCGACCTTTTGGTTCTACGTGTCTTTCATCCTCCTTTGCTTTGGCTTTTGATTGTTCGAGATGTCTTTCATCACTACGTGTCTTTCATCGCTGTTTTGCCCTTTTGTGCTTGTCTATATTTTCCCCTTTCTTTCCGTTCCTTTCTCTCTCTATCTCCCCATTCTCAACTTTTGCTTCTTTTGGAACCTAGGGTTTTTTTCCTTTCCCCGTGGTCGTTATTCTTACTGCCCATCGTTCTTAGCTGTTGTCGGGTTTTTCTCTCCGATTAAGTACGACAGTTTTCTTGCTTTACATTGCTCTTACCCATGGTCGTTTTCTTACTGGAAAATTTTCCATCCTCTGCTTTTCCTTCTATTTATGGACTCTGTGATTTTCGTTGTGGTTGTCGATCTGGGTTAAATTTGAATTGTCTTTTTGCCTATGAGATCTAAAGTTCTTTGGTGAGTTATTTGGTTTTCTTCCCATATGGGATTTTAATATATATTTTTTTCTGTGGTTTATTTGTGGTTCTCTAATGTGTTTTGATTTTTGATTTTAGGAAAAGTAAAGGATACGATCAAACATTTACTAGTGAGTTTTCTATTTTTCTAATTGTGTGTGTTTTAATTTTTTTTCTAAGTTTTGGGTGTACTTTTCTTATCTGCTTTGATTTTTAGTTTGGTGGCTGAGAAAATGTGATTCTATGTTTTGATTTAGTTAAATAATTAAAAAAATAGAAGACAAGTGGAGAATTATCGTCGAAAGGAGTGGGTGCAAAAAGGGAAGAAAAAAAAGCATGAATCTGGAGGATGGAACAAATGGGTTTTCTGTTCAAATCCCTCGCCCAAATTAAATATATAAATTAATTTCTTAATTTCCTTTTAATGGTTTGGAAATCAAGCTTTTTGTTTTGTGCATTTTCAGTGTTATTTCCTCCCGCGTTGGAAAGTAGAAGCTTCAACTTTTAGCTCAGACCTTAAAGCGTCAAAATTTTCACTTTATCAATCCGGTTATTCCGGGCAAGCATAACCTTTATCAACATCCTGTTTATGGAAGAATAAAAGTCATTCTCATGGTCCTTCTCTGGTAAGTGGATTATTGAGAGCCAATTGTTGGAGCTTAGTGCTCAATCAGGTGAATTCCAAGTGCAAGGTCCTCTAATTTTATCTTTTGTGGTTTCAGCAAAGATAATGAATCTTCTCAGTTCATTTCTCAGGAGTAGGTTATCCTCATGTTCCAATTCCATCAGGACTAAAGGTGTTTATTTTGGTTTCATATGTCTTTCTTTAGTTCTAAGTCCTTCGCATGAATGTGTGCTGAAATGTAATGTACAAAACTGGTATGTGCTATTTCTCAGTTTTCTATTTATATGTTTTTGAAATTTTCGGGTGATGGAAATCAATGCGATTTCATGTTAAAACAGTATCATAATTTTCGTTATGGTAAAAACTCAGAACTTAGAACCTTTTTTTCTTTATCTTTCCCCTTTTGAAGTTAAGGAATTGAATTGCTTTTCTATACATTTTTTCTGATCATTCACTAATAATTTGTTAATTGTTTTAATATATATGAGGTTGGATTTCTACTTTCTAAGATCCATTATCATCTTCAGAGATTGCTTGATTTCATATTGTCAAATAGTTTATGAATTTCCATATTGAGTGCATGAATATGTTCTTGCGGTAATTTAATTAAATGTGATATAACTTTAGGTGTATATACCTTTGAAATACAATTTTTCACACAATTTCTAATCCCGCAGCAATGCACGGGCAAATCTTTCTAGTATGTTCTAATACATATTGTGATGTTGTAAATCCTAAGTAGAGATAGATTAGGAATCCCTTGGGATCTAGAAGATCTTTCCTAATAGACTTTGTATTACTTGGAAAGCAAGTTTCTCTCATCCTTGAGAATTAACACACAATTCCTATGGCCTATTCTCCACTCTCTTTCTTTCTATGCCACACTCCTCAGTTAAATATAGGCCACAACAGCTAAGCTTTTTCAGTTTTTTTAGTCGTTTTCTATTTTTTAGATAAGAATATTATATGAATTTATAAATAGGAGTCTAAAAGTTTTTTTTTTTAAAAGAAAGGATAAATCGTTAATATGTGTTTTAAAATGTGGGTAAAGAAATAAGATAATAAGATGGGTTTAGTAGCACTATCCATTTAAGGTTTTGATGCTTCAATTTGTTAAGAGCATTTATCATTATACAAAAGAAAGAGAGAAACAACAGAATCTTACCCCAACTTTGATGGTGCCACTTCGCTGGAATTCCCAGTCAAGAACGTAATCATAGTTGCCAACAGTAGCCACCATTCTAACCACCAAACTCTTGTCCTGCTGCCCACTTGTTATCTACAAAATCATCCAATTTAAATTACATGTACACCTTTTATTTTTCCTGGTACACATGCAGGTTAATATTCGAACTCAAAACCCTAAACCCTTACCAATTTGCCTGGAACGTTAATTTCAGTATGTCTCATTGCAACATCACCCGAGTACCTCTCAAAGATGCAAATGGCCCTTTCTACCTTTTGTGGCTGACCATCAGCCCCAGCCATAAACCCGTCAACATATTCAGCATTTTCCGGGCAATCAATCAGAGGCTGCAAACTATCAGCTGATCTCCCGAACCCAAATTCACCAATGTCCATAAATGTCCTGAAATACCATTCACTTGTAGGATCCATATATGGCACGAACGTCTCGGACACGTGCCCTTTGTACAGCACACTCCTGTACTTCTTCTTCCTGGAGTCAAATACAGAAGCCGTAGAGATCACACTTCCTGCCCTAGCATTGAACCCAACATGAAAAACCCAATTTTCCCATTTGACCTCGTGGCCTGAGACGGTGAAGCCACTTTTCGTTTTGTTGCAAGGGCCAGAATTGGAATTTTCTTTTGGGGTTTGGAAGTCAGTGCCTTGAGCTTTGGGCAAAGGAGCTCTGAACCTATCAGTGTACACTGTAATTTTCATCAAATCAAGGTCCACTAGCATTGTTATTCCCTCAATAGGCCTTGCAAAAACATTGACTGATCCTCCTCTATAGAAGCACTGGATTTTCACGGCTCTCTTGGTAATTTCTTCCCCATACCATCCAATTGAAAAGGGTAGGCATGAAACTTCAGATAAATTCAATCCCCTTGCTGAAATTGAGTTTATGAATTTGGAGTGACTGAGAGGAAGCTTACTAGCTAGGAAAAGCTCGGTAAAGGTGAGAGGAGGGTTTCCATGACCTGTGTGGACATGATCGGATATGACAGAGCCGGTGGCCAAGTCCACAATGAGCTCGTGGGTCTGACCACCGGCTCGAGCCACCACCTTGGCCTGGCGGGGAGGGGTGGACCTTTTTTTATTGCTTGAAGATAACCATTTAAGGACTTCAGCTTTCTCTGGCTCTTCAGTGTCAACAAAATGAAAGGTGAGGTTAGGAAGATTTCCAATGTGAGACTTCTGAATTGTGAGCCTAGCTGTATTGATCTCAGTTGGGGTTAGAGGGTCTAGGGGGTGGGATGAGGTAGCTGTGAAGCAGCATTGTAGGATCAAAACTAAGGGTATAAATAGGGCAGTCATGAATTTGCTTTGCAAATTCCTAATAAAGGAATCAATTTGTGTAGATTTGGTTCTGGATATCCAACTGTTTGGGATTACACAATACAAAAGGAGCAATTTTATAGAGGGTTATCCTGACTTTAATGAGACAACTCACACTTTTCTTGCATTTCACTAGTCCTTTGCCTTGCACTCAGAGCAAGCATATTTAATTCTAACTGCTTTTCTTTGCTTTGCTTTGCTTTTGATTCTTTGATAATTAAGTGAAGGGCACCATGAGCCATCATTTTACACATCTGTCTTTGCAATTGCAACCGTATTTTCTTAAATGTCACATGCTACAAGTTGAAGAAAACGTGTGTAAAGGCCCACAAGGGTTTAACAATAATAGTGCCATTGTATTGAATAACTTAAATCATGTGGAAGGGAAAATTGAATACACGACTTTGGTGCAAGGATAAACATTCTTAATTAGCACTTGAATGAGAAACTCCTTACAATAAAATTTCAACTTTCTTTTAATGAAAACGCTTTTAGAAAAAGTGGTTTTTACAAAACGAAAACAATTAACAAAATTAAAGGGAATGTGCAGTGTTTCATACATAACAATCCCAAACAAGAATACAGAATGAGCTATATACAGGGGTGTCTTCAACGGCTGAATTAAAAATTTCTTAGCCTTCCATTCTCAGTTTCTCCCAACCTTTTATGGGGTATCTTTCTTGCATTAAGAGCAAGGAGAATGAATTGATGAAAACCTTCTCGGTATGGAACATGATGAAAGCCCATTGTGTACCATAACACAATGTCCTTATTTTCAATGTCCCTAATCAGATAACTTTGAGTCACTCACTCTAGTTGTTTGTGATGTGTGTCTATATATTGTAAGCCCTAGATGATGAATAAAATAACGAAGTAATAGACATATTTCATTTTGGTATCAGAGCCTGAGAGCGGCTTCGTACTGTCACATGATAGGTGGGTTCCCTTTGCCCCGCACAATGATTGTGGTTCACTTGCCCCCGCATGTTGGCTGAGTTCTCTTCGCTCCATGTGGTTGTTGATGTGTGAATCTTCTACGTGTAATTCACTAATTGGGTTCCACGTGAGGGAGCGTGTTGAAATATCCCACCATAAGATTTTTACTTAAACAAAGCTCATTGCCTAGATTTCACATCAGCAAATCCATTAATTATGCTTGACTTTACACATTTAAAAGTTTTTGGATGCCTAAACTACCCCTATTTTAATGCTTGTTGTACACAATTAATTCCATGCTGATTGTAAGGGAGAATTAATGATTTTACACAACAACCAAAAAAAAAAAAAAATGGTATAAATTCATTGCCTAATATATAATAACAATAAAACATGCCTAATATATGTAATAATACATGCTTAATAAGGTCAATAAAAAAAATATTATACTAATTAATTTACCTATATGTAAATTTATGATTAGCAAATAACTTATATTTTGTAGGTAAATTAATATTGAATCAAATAACATTCCTTCATTTGTAGGCAATTTACTAGCAAGTGTACCCGCGCGTTGCTGTGGTGTTTGAAAACATAATTGAATATGCAGAAGTCTCAAAAAATATATGCACCAAAGAGTGGTGTTTATATACATATATTACATCCATGTCCATGTGTTAAGGAAGTGCTATTTACATTCATATATTACATGACAAAAATTGGAAATATGGGTGTGCCATTCTTAAGGATTGTTTTTCAAAAGCTATGGCTCTACCCCAGAGATTGTTTTATGTGTACAATTTTACCAAGTTAAAACAATCCAGTTTTGTTTCACTAAAGACACCCAAATTCGTAACTTCGTTAATGATGTCTCCTTCGTTTTCTACAACGTAGAAGTAAAAATTAAGAGAAGGAAATTAAAAACAGAATTGGATCACTTATGAATTGAATCACACTAAGTTGCACATGAATTGTATTGAATGAAAATCTAAAGATGAATGAGAATTTTTCATAATCTAACTCTACAAAATTTCAATATGCCAGATTTCATTTGTAGGCACCAAATCAAATTGACAAAATTAAGTTGGGTTTTTCATATTCTCTATTGGTTTTCAGTATGCCAGATTTCTAAATTTTACTTCAGGCAGGATTAATATGCACATCTCTACCAGTATATAGTTCCGCTAAATTGATTTTTACTCAAATGTTTCACAGTATTAATGTAACTAGGGGAAAACATAACAAACATCCTTAATCACAAACAGAGCATAACTGAATGTCATGTATGTCACAACGCAGAATTCGTCCAACTGAATTGTGTTTCTAGTTGATTATATATCAAAACTAAATAAAACTATCAAGCATATGAAGATAAAATACACACCTGGGATATCAGTCTCACAAAATCGCAGCATAAGGAAGCAGATGGAAGTACTCAACGACTGTTGTAACTGCCCAGCTGTTGAAACTCTTTTGTACCGAAGGACCCTGCAGCAAAGTCCAATTGTTAAACAGGCAGGAGAACTTAGAAAAAAGTATAATAAAGATAGAAAACTAAGAAAAATTCCATGATATACCAGAGCATAAGGAAGATTCAACCACCAAGGATCAATATCATTCTTTGATCGATTGCCACTGACTTTGTTAGCCACTGATTCCTTTTCAGCTTCTTGATCGATTGCCACTGACTTTGTTAGCCACTGATTCCTTTTCAGCTTCTTGGAATAATATTTACTTTCTGGTGCAAGGAAGGGAAAGAATAATCTATACGAATGCCGACTTATTTCCAACTCCAACACCAACCATTCTGCATCACTGTTGAAAAAAAAAATGTATTATAGGTTGATCAAATACTGCTATGTAGTAGTGTAATTTCATATTAAGAGCTTTTTGTCACCTGTAATTTGTTAAGCTTTTGTTTAGATTCAGTTGGCAAAAGCTTTATTGTATCGCACACAGAATTTTGAAGAAAGCATCAGAAAGATGAGCAAAATTGAAGTCATTGTTATTCATATCGGATAAGTCTATTACATGCTGCATTTTCTTTTTATGCGTGCCTGATCATTTTATATTTGTGAATCTCATGTCATAGTGAAGCTTAATGAACAGCACAAAGAAACAAAATTGTAACAAAGTTAAAAAGAAAATGCAGCATGCAAACACCAACAAAAAGTAACGCGTGTAATAGACTTATCCAATATGAGTACATAAATTCTTAGAATGATATCAATATGAAGACGTCTCATACCTGAAAAATTGCAGAATGTTCTGAATCAGCAGGAAGAATTTTTACATTATGCTTGGGGGCAAGAGGAAGAACAATAGGGCCTCCAGCAATCAGGGTCTCTTTATTGGCTAATGCTATGTCTTTCCCTGCTTCTATTGCAACCACTGTAGGATAAGAAAAAAAGGTAAGATGAGAAATTTCAGTCTCTTGATTTATGTTCATTTTTAAGTCAAATACTGTTTTTCTTTTCTGAAAATATTTTTGTTCAATTTCATTATAAATCATCAGTCATTATGATTTGTCAGACAACTTTGCTATCCCGTCTACCTTCCCTTGTCTTTCAGTTCTTATATTATGTATTTCAAAAGTTATATCTATCGCTTCTTTTCAATAGAAAAATTGACATTTATAACTTCACTGACAAAGCAATTACCGTCAGTCCTGCAGAACCTACAATTCCTGTAACTACTGTGACCGCATCTGGGTGGCGGGAAACCTGAGAAGAGAAAAATGAGCAATTCCTTGAAGATGAACAAAACAAAATTCATCAACCAAAGGCGATTGGATGCTAGGCTACCTCAAAGCTTGAACACAAACCAAGACATAAGATACTCACCAAACTTTTTAAATGGCTCAATTGTTTGCTTAACTTGACAACTTTTTCCTGCAATTCATAAATAAGATCATTAGATGTAGTAAATAAAAATTATAAAAGAAAAATTCTCACCTCAGGTATGCAACAGAGGTTAAATTTCTAATATAAAAAATAAAACTCTTGCATCTAGCGAACCTAGTTAGTCCTCAACGCGAAACAACAGATTTTAAGCAGTTAAATGCACATCCAGCTAGGCAGCTACAAAGCAACCAATTCGAGGCTTAAACCTAGCTTATGACTGCATTGAAATGACAAAGAAAATCCATATTAACAAACTAATAGAAACTTGTTTCCCCACTACTAATATAGAAAATCTTACTAATGGCCAGGCCGAAACGAATATGAAAAAAAAAATCACCTGAGCAGAGCCTAATCCAAATACATATTTCTCCATTGAACTCAACCTTTCAACAGAAACCTAATAAAGGCAAACCACAGTCTTGTTAATTTCCTCATCGTAATTGGGACCAAGCATAATATTCCTTGCAGACAGCGTGCTTCTCAGCTTCGGAAGAACCTCATTGTTCGGCGTTGTGCTCTCAATTGGTTGCTTCTTCTCTGTGCTTGATTTGATTGTTGCCTTCATGGCCTTAGCTTGGTTCATTGGAGGGGTTGATAGATTGGGGTTCTGATTTTCACCATCTTCCTTGAATGTTGAATTATTGGTCGGGTAAATCGAAGATTGATTTAGTCCCCCCTTCTCTTTAACTTCACATCTCTGAATCAGCAAAAAAAAAAAAAGAAGGTTAAACAGTGCCGAATTTGAATTAAAATTGTACAGTGAAAGAAGAGGATTCATGGGTTTTTCTTGTTACCTCTGTATTTTATCACGGTTTGGTCAGTGTGATTTCTTCACGTTTATCATCCAATCTGAGACCAGTAGGTTCCTTCTTGGGAGATTGAGGCTCCTCCTTGCTTGTTTTAACATTTCGACTCTCCGATTATCGTTCACTGGCCTGGACTTCGACACCGTGTTGCTCTCCGGCCTAATTGACTCCTGCTGAGCCTCCAGCGATGCCGGAACAGCTTGAGAGTGGGGCAAATCATACGAAGACCCGCCATTTTCAGCTGGAGATCCTGGGTTTTTTTTTTCCAAATTCGGAAGGGAAGTCTCAACTTTAGCAGGCTGATCAGCCACCACTTTGGCCGTAGAAGAAATGGGACTGTTTTGAACCACCGGGTTCTCGTCGTCATACTTCACGGGTCGCGGTCTTTTCCTCTTGTGTGCTGCAGATTCGAACCAAAGACACCAAATTTCCATCAGTCACGATAAAAACACAAAAGAACCCAGCTCTGTTTGCTCACCGAAAAACCAAGCGATTCAATCCCTTTTTCTCAGAGCATTTGGGGTACCAAAAAAGAAATGAACAAAACCGAGAGCTCCGTGAGCTTATAATACCCACCGACGGCGGACATGGAAGTGACAGAGGAGCTAGGAAATGAGTCGTTTTCATCAAGAAAGTGAAAGAGAGAAGGCAGCGGCGAGGGAGTTCTAGAGAGAGAAACTGGTTTGAAGGAGAAGAGATGAAATTTTGGAGAGAGATTGAATTTTAGAGAGAGAACTCGAGAAACCTGAACAGGAAGGAAACGGAAAGGTTTACTGGAGGGGTGCACACACCTATTTTCCTTCTTACACATCTCTTGATAATTTCTATTGAACAGGAAGGAAACGGAAAGGTTTACTGGAGGGGTGTGCACACCTATTTTCTTTCTTACACATCTCTTGATAATTTCTATTCGTTGATCTTCTTCAATTCATCCAATCCGACGTCCAAAAATTAAAAAGGTGCGTGAAAAGTAAAATGGGGTGTATGGATATCACACCCCTTAGTGGAATCTTCGAGAGAGAGGTCGAGAAATCTGAGAGAGAACACGCGTCCACCATCAGCAACTCGTGTCCATCACTGACAAAACAAGGGTAAAAACGAAATCAAAATGTATAATAAACAGTGATCACAGAAACAAAGAAGGGGCAAAAACGGAAGAACACTGACAAATAAACAGTGTTTCAAGCGTTTTTCTCTTTTAGTATATACTAGAAAGTTTGTCTTCGCGTTGCTGCGGGATTGTCAAATATATTGCAAGTATTGTATATAAATGTTACATAAGGGAACAAATATGTTGCAAGAATTGTGTGTAGAATTTATAAAACATGTACCAAGTATTTGCATAAAATATATAGTTGTTACTTGTTCAAATTATAACAGCTTGTACAAACATGAGTTCGAAATTCACCTGCCTTAACTTCTCCACACTTTACACATAGAGACCCTTATCTTTTTTGGTGGTTTAAAAGCTTGCAAATCACGGGAGGTTGTCCATTCTGTTACAAAGATGCAGAACCAAAATATATATTTTATCAATTTTCAAGAGCATAAATGGACATATTAAATTGTATGTAAAGAATGTATAGCAAAAGAAATCTCACATAACTCTACCACAACAATAAGAAATCTCAAATAGAAAAAATCTACCAACTACCATACGGATGATTTTTAAAATGAATAAAAGACTATCCTATTATGGCGAGCTTATACCTTTCACTTGTTTACTGTTCTTATGAGTTACAAAACACAACCAACAAAAGAAAATCAAACAAACACCAAAAGAAAGGTCATGCCTAATAAGAAGGTTTCATTTATAATTATTTCTATTTCTACATAAATACTAATAAATTAAGCTCCCAATGATCTGCATAAACATTAGCAGGGCCCTCTTTTCCATAGATGGAAATGACTGAAACAGATTCGACCTATGTCTTAATGACATCAGTTATGTGTTAAACCACCTAAATCGATTCAAATCACGAAAGAAAGGCAGTCATCAGCGTTCAAGCAAGTGAAGCAAAAAAGAAAAGGTAGGACAAATGAACATTGTGATTTTGTACCATCACCTAGACAGTCTTGCCAACATAAGGGCAGAGGATATAAATGAATGAACTCAATTCCAATACGCTAAACGTTTAAGGTATATACATCATGAAAGTCTTATGAATAACCAAATTATCTGAAGTTCAAGATATTGGATTAGCTACATACAGATTTGGAGACAAAACTAACATATCCAAGCCTATATAGCTTGCAGTGAATAATGTTATCAATTGTTCCAACAGTGTCACCAATCTTAAAAGCTCTAGCTTGAATTCCTCCAACAGTAGCTAGGCCAATGACAACCTGCAAAAGATACGATAATTAAAGTTAGTATCGCCAGTTCATTTTCCCAAGTTAGTGAAATTAAGATGACTTTGCATCAATCGTGTAACCTTGTTGTTTGCTAGTGCATATGCGATCAATTGCATAGTGTTTGACTCAGGTACACCTTCAACAATGATTGCCACAACTCTAATGGTTGGTTGCTTGAGAGCAGCCATGGAAGAAGCAGTAGCACTTCAGATATGTCAACATACATTCATTGTTAGGTACAACCATAGAAGTTTTGCACTCTAAAACACTACTCATAGAATAATCACTGACCTTCTGTATGAAGCAAAGTTGATTAAGACATCAGCAGTAGGATGTGTGGCGCATGATGCTTCAATGCTGCAATAGTTATCAACCCAAAGGTCAGACAATCTAGAAACAACAGATCAAGAATGGTAATCTGACTAATAACATGATTTGAATATATTGGATATGGAAAATTAAGATTAACCAAGCATACATGCATATACATAACTATACAAAAGGTGGCTTGCATCCACGAAAGACGAAATCTAGGAAGAGGATGAGGGAATGGCAACTTACTTTGAGTGCGTATGGCGATTTCCTCTTGACCGAAAAATAGCTTCTAGAATCCCTCAGAACGGGGGTTAATGATTCCAGCAAATGATGGTGCCTCCCTCCCTATTACAAACCTCAGTTTTCAAAAACTAAAAACTATAAGTAAGATCAAGTTTGAAGTCAAAATTAGGAAATGAAACACACTGCAAAGGAAGTCAAAATCGAGTTAGAAGCACCTGATATATCTTGCCAGTGGTAATGTTGTTATCCCTATTAAGAGTCACATCTAGGAAACGTTCATAGTTGCCCAGGTCCAAATCAACCTACAATTACAATTAAAGTTTAAACAAACTCAGCAGCATAATGTTTAAAGATAAGACTAACACTCAACATGATACCAAGATAGAATCCAAAAATAAATTAAAGATATGACTAAAATTATTTTTTCTAATCAAACATATTTTCTAGTTTTCTTATCCAATTATACAATTGCAGTTCCTAAAACAAAAAAATAATTTGTAGAAAGAAAATTAGAAAATTCGAACTTGATAACAGTCTACCTTAAGAAACCCCATGACCGAGTAACAGCAACAACAACATTGAGACATAATTTGGTAAATATATATGGTGGACAAATTTAACAACTCTAGTACTGTTAACAATGCTTCAACCAATACAACATAAATCAAATCAATATATACCTGTATCCTGAGTCCGAATTATACCCTCGTGCCCTATAATGTCTTGGTGAGTGACTCCTACTTAAAATCCAAACAAAACAAAATCTGTAATTTCAGTTTCCAACACATTTAACTTTTACAACACACAAAAAATCAAAACTCTCATCATTAGAAAACCAAAAGGAAAACTTGAAATTATATACCTGAAGCACAAATGGTTTGCAAACGCATATACAAAATTTCCAAAAAACAAAGACAAACATTTCCTGAAATGAAAAGAAAAGCAAATCATAGAGCCAAACCGAGAATCCAAGCACAGAAATAAAACCCCCAAAGTTATGATAACAAAATTTAAATGCAAGACACATCTGCAAACGGAAGACCACCCCAAAAAAATTTAAATATTGTTCGACAAAAAGCCTAAAAGAAAAAGTAGATTTTATATACACACATTGAACACAAAGGGCTTGCAAAGTTGCACATGAAAGCCCCAAAATTGGGACATGAGCGCTTCCTGAAACCAAATAAGCGCACATATCAAACCCCCAAAACGAAAAAGAAAAGAAAATTAAAGACAAAATCCATTAAATCAGATACACTAGAAAAAACGCAAAACTCATTGGAACAACACTAGCGTGGAAGAGAAAAAAAAGCTAGGTTCGAAAATAAGTAGAAGGTGAGAATGGAGAGAAAGAAGCGAACGGAAAGAAAAAGCTAAGAAGAGGTTGGAAACGGAACAATAGAAAAGCAGAAATGGGTATGGGAAACGGAACAAAAAGCAAACCTCACGATGACCAACACGTGGTAAGAGAGGCCCCGGTTCCCCTAACTTTTCCAGCCCCCTTCCGTTAAATTCATGGAGGCAGATTATCTTCCATCCTGTTTGGGTGTCATTCTCATCCCCTCTTATTTTGTGCGGTCACAATTAAGCCACGTCAACATTTTATATTGATTTTTTTATAAAGATAATAAGACAAAAAATAATAGAAATATAAAATTTTGACGTGGCTTAACCGTGACAGCACAAATATGAGGGGATGGGAAGGGCACCCAAACAGGAGGGTAGACAATCTGCCTCCTAAATTCACTGTGTATCACATTTTTTAATATTTTTTTGGTCTTCCCACCAGCTATACATGGGTTTAAAAAATTAAGAATGTATAAATTTTTATTGTTTGTTGTGCCACAAACCATGTGGCCCGGTTTTAATCACATTTTTTTTGTCTTCCCACCAGCTATACATGGGTTTAAAAAATTAAGAAGGTATAAATTTTTAGGGGTGTGCTATCCACACATCTCATTTTACTTCTCACACACCCTTTGTTAATTTTTGTCCATTGATCTTTTTCAATTCATCTGATCTGACGGCCGAAAATTAGAAAGGTGTGTGAGAAGTAAAAAAGGGTGTGGATAGCACATCCCAATTTTTATTGTTTGTTGTGCTACAAACCATGTGGCCCGGTTTTAATCACATTTTTTTGTCTGCCCACCAACTATACGTGGGTTTAAAGAATTAAGAAAATACTAAAAGAAAGACTCCACAGATGGAGGAACGGGTGAATAAAAAGGGCAAATTCGGGATTTTACTGTACAAAAAAGACAAAAAGTAATGGCTGAAGACTAACTTTAGGGGCATTTTGGTCCGCACACTGCCCTAGAACAATGCCACCCGAGTTTGGATTTTAGTATATATAGAATATAATTTTCCATGTATAGATATATACTTGGCACATTTTATTATTATAAGATATATGTACAAATATTAGGTAAATGTTGTAAACTTTCATAGTTTAAGTGAAATTGTGTAAATCCTAAATTACATTTTATTCTAGTTATTCTTTCCTATATGAACTTGTATTCCTTGGGGATGAAGGATTTCTTCCCCCTCTTATTACTATAAATAAAGGCACTACGTAGGAGGGAATAACACACACATTCCTCCATACAATTCTACAAAGGCATCTCTCTCTTTTCTCTCATTGTCGTCGGCCACCTTCTTCTTGTCAGATAAAATATGCTACAACACATTATCAACATGTTCCTACTGTTACGCTTAGGAATCTAACGTAAAAATTTTCTGCATCAAACCAGTTCATCCATATCATTATGCAATCAAGTTCTTCCAAAACAAAGGTTTTTATCTCGATATTTTTGTAGCCTTGATAGCATGAACATTCACCATAATGCATAACCCAACTTTACGTTTTTCGAATTTT